GTTAATGATGACGACATCATAGATAATAGAGTAATTCATTAGAGTAGTTCATTTACGTTACTCTAATATCTATGACGACATCGACACCTACCCATATATATGTACAGCAACGCCCTCGGCTTGGGTGTTCCTGAGATATCCTACGCCCCGGCCCCGGCCCCTCATGTAACAAATACGCCCACAAGGCTAGTACAAATCTGGCACATGGTCCCATTTGGTAGTGGTGGGCGATACTGGTCAAACTTGATTCGATCCGATACCGATCGATACCACTCAATATCGAATGTATCGATACACTTTCGATACGATATATGCACCACGCCCATCAATTAAAACTAATTAATTAATACCACACCTATAATAATAAAATGGACTCAGTTATCAAGACTGTTAAGAAATAAGAACATATCTACGTTCTTCGGTTTCAGTGTACTTCTCCTGGCAGAAATCAGTTCCCCAGCTTTGCTAAATAGTCTCTCAGAAGGGACAGATGTAGCTAAAACTACCAGGTACTTCGTAGCTATTTGCTTTACGTTAGGAAAGGCAGCCTCGTTGTTTCTCCACCACTCAAGTGGGTCATCCTGTCTGGCAATAAGTGGCATTCTGAGATATTGCTGCAGTTCAGTAAAAGCATCGGTTGCTGGTTGTCTTGTCGCCCTTACTTCTGCAACTCTTTGGTCAAAGAACTGCCATAGTGGGTTTAGTTCAGAGCTGGCAGACACCTCATTACTAGCACTCGTCTCAGCCCCACTTGAAATCCTTTCCAAGCTAGGCTGGCTAGCACACTGGGCTACTACTGTTCGAGCAATTTTATCTGCTGCACTTTGATCAGAGAAAGCAAACTTCTTGAATCTTGGATCTAATAAGGTGGCTGAAGCAAGTATTGGATTGTTTTCTACATTAAAAAACCGACCTCTCATATGATGAAGGAGTTTTGCTGCTAATTCGCTTGTTTTTTGGCTGGATATCATCATAAGTGATTTTGCTAATGGGATAATTTTTGAAGCAGACAGATATTTTTCTGATGACATCTCAGTTGTGACAGCTTCAAATGGCTGAAGAGTATCAACAGCTTCTTTGAGTATTGCAGTCTTATCACTTGCTATGAGTAAGTCACTACGATCGAGAAGGCACAGTGTTGTTCGAATTGCTTCATCCTGCTCCAAGTACCTTCGTAGCATATAGAAGACGCTGTTCCATCTGGTGTCAACATGTTGGATTAACTTATGCTCTGGTAAATTGAGTCGAGCTTGAATGACCTTTAGCTTGTCAGAAGCCTTTGTACTTCTATGAAAATAGCTGACAATGTTCTTCACTGACTGTATCAACGATGACAATTCAGGTAGCTCAGAAAGTGAATT